CGAAAGAGGGTTTTTGAACACCAAAATTAAAAGTATGGTATATTTAAGAAACCCCAAAATAACATTGTCATGAAATATTTTTCTCCCGATTTAGAAAACCATGCACAAAATAGTGTCGTATGTTCGATGTTCAATGCCATTTTTTTTTTTTTTTTTCAATGCCATTTTAGTTATAGAAATAATGCCATTTTAGTTGATAATATTATATAAAATAGAAAAATGAATGTCAATGAATAAATATTCGAAAAGTATATAGATAAAATATGAATGAAGCATTAGTTGTGGTATAGGTAGCCATAATAGTACTAAGGTGGCTAATGCTTTGTCGTCCTCAAAGGGCCAACGAAAGCCTAGTGATATATGTTTTGGTAAGCATTTCTTCTCCCTAACAACCAACCAAGGACTTTGAGCTAAAGATACCCTCTCATAGTTTTCAACACTCTATTAAAGTAATATTTTCTTAAACTTATAAAAATTCAAAATGTCATTTCAAATGTCAAAACAATGGCACTCCATTTACTTTGCTTAGCAAATAAAATATTTTTAAGTTTTCTTTTCTTTACAGAAAGGATGGCACATGGGAGACATGGTCACAGTGTAGGCAATATCCTCTTCCATTTTATCTTCTCATCAAACCCATCTCCATCCAAAACATGCTTAAATTCGATGGAATATGCAAATAAACCAACAGAAGATAAAACAAATACAGAAAGATATAAAATAATAGATAAATTTATGGAATATATCACCACCACTAGTGTAATTTAGTACAGTAATCCCTGCTCGCACTAACAACAAATAAATAAATAAAATTCAGGTTTATACACTCCACCAAATTTTTTTAGTTTTACCTGCCACAGAATTAGAGTTTGCATGTGTAAATTGTTTTTATCTTCTTTTCTTTTTGTCATATCTATATCAAATGAGAGTCAATTCATATTATCAACTAAGGAACGAAGATCATCAATAGACCCTTATCACATTATTGATTGAAGAGGATGTACACACATATATAAAGAATGTTGCAAGCAAATCATATAGTTTAGTAGTTTGTTGTTGAGTTATCACCCGATTTCAAAGCTATTTTCTTCAACGTAATTTGAGCTAAAAGTTACAAATTGTGCTCAACTTTTTGTGGCTGGTCATGGTTCAGAGTGAATGAAATATATTTGTCTTGTTTCCAGGAATTCTGGACCACTTCTATATTTTGGCGTTTTGTTATTCATAACAAGCTGTTCTCTTTCTTAAGTTAAACTTATCTTTATTTTTTATTTTACTGCCAGAATACTAATTTGGTAAAATATTGTTTGTATCTTTCAAAATCATTAAAATACAACTATTGGTTCCACATTTTACCCTCTGCTATATCAGTAACATCAGTGTTCTGTCTCTCAATTCTAGTTTTGTTTTCTAAGAGACGAATTTATAAATATTTAGCTACATGCAATTATGTTTATGTACAAAACGTATATATTCATTCTTTTCCCTTGTATATGGATCAGAGGGATGCGATGTGAGCTTAAAGATACCCGTTGGGCTTCAGCCCATTTATCTTTTCCAACCATTCTAAATCATCTTCTTTTTTTTTTCACTGAGTTTGTGTTTTATTGCATCCAGAAGGAACAACAAAGGTAGAGTGTCTAAGGTAAGTTCAAGAAATTGCCAAAACAGAAGGCAAAATGGAAAAGTCAAAACATCCTTTGGTTGACATCCTTTCGCAATCATCCGTTCAACTAAAGCCACAGCTTCAAAAGCCTTGTTGTGGAGGAAAAGTCCATGGATTAGAGTTGTAAACGTTACAGAATTTGGTCAACCATTTGATCAACCAAAGTGACCAGCGAGTTAAACGTGACTAAATCGGGACCGTCGTAGCAAAGTTTCATCATCTTCCCAAGGATTGCTAAAAAGCGAGAAGGAGTTGAGAGGTGCGGCAGAAACAGTTTATCAAGATATTGTAAGTAAAGAGATCATTTGCGATTCTCAGATTCTGCATCTGCTCTCCCAGAGATATCACGACATCGTACTTCTTCATCTTCGCAATAGCACTCAACAACTTGTTGAAAGGACGAGACTTTACCATTTCACTTAACAAACTAATTGCATCGTCTAACTTAATACCATTCAGAAATCCACCTCTAATCTTCCCTCTGTAATCATAACTCTCACTAGAAGAATCTCGTTTCCAGCAGCAGCAAAAGGGAGAACGAAGGAGAAGCAGTTCCAGGATTACCTTGGTTCACCAGAAGACGACGCCGATGAGCGAATCTCTTGGCCGTAATTGCAATTGCGAATCTCATCTTCTCGAATTGGAATTCAGGTGATTTGGGTTTCGTCTCAATCTCTAGACTTTCTCGTTCTGTAAAACTCAGCAGAACCCTAAATCAATGAATGTTCTTCAGCCACTACTGAGAGAGAGAGTCACAGAACAGAGTGACGATGAGAGAGTGTGGTGATTGAAACCGGTTTATTGAGCTTACCGGTTTTTGTAATTGCAAACGAACTAGTTCCAAAATGACTGAGACCCGGTTTAGTAGTTCTCTGTTAGCAATTATTTTACTTTTTCCTAATCATTTTGTAAATATAAATAAATACATATTTGTCATTTTACTTTGAGTTCGTTTTAATTTCTCTTTCGATTTGATAGTTCCAAAAATTGGGACAAACATTATATAAATCCAGTTGAGAAAGAAGATAGAAAAAAAAAAACACCTGAACAAAACAAAACAAAAAAATATGTTATATTTTACATTTTTGTTCTCTCTCTCTTTTTTTTTTTTTTTTTTTTTTTTATCTTAACTAATATTTGAAAAGAAGACTCGGTTTAAAATTCACAATCATTGTACAGATCAATTGTAATATCAACTTTTATCCTTTCAAAATCCGAAGAAGCATTTTAAATAAAAATAAAAAAGAAGCGGAGAAAAATATAAGATTAGATCATTACATTGTGAAGAGCGGTGCCTATATATTATTTATATACAATGTTGAGATATAAGTTCTGACTAGTCCAGTGGACTTCTTTCATTATTGAAGCAATACCTATATTTTTTTTATTAAAAAACAGAGAAGAAGTAATATGTACAATAATATAAAAAGAAACATTCCGCAAGGAGTCATTCATATCCTCTTACATAATTATGGAGCCATGTAATAGTTGTCCATATCCTGCTGAATCTTATATATTATCAAAGCATGACTCACACCATATGCTGGAATCGAAGATTATTAAATTGATTAAGTTTAGCATTACGATTTATAAGTTATTCAACATTCTGCAAGGAGTCATTTATACTAGCGGAAAGTGTATAATTTTGTTTTGTTTTTTTCTTTTGTTTTTTGCTAAAGGGTTATAATTGTTGTCAGCAGTTAGCAGACCATTAATCACATTCCCACAAAACATTAGTTTGGGCATAACTAACTTAAACGCTACGGTTGCATTTTCGGTTGCAAGAGTTTGCTGAAACACACATTTGCATTTAAGAGCATTATTAAACGATTTGTATAATTGACATATAGGTTGAAAACAAATGCATTTGCGAGATAGTATAATTAGTTGACTTGTACAATAACTGTTAAACAATAAGTTAACAGTATAAACATATTATATAATTATAAAACATCAAAACTATATTATAGTGAAAAATAATTTTAATTTAAAAAAATTAAACTAAGAATATGTATATAATATTTACATTTATTTTTATTTTTCTATAATTGGGATGAAATATATGATTTTCATTAAATATTAATGTGAAAACTAAATTTATATTATAATTCTATTTATTAGACAATATATTTATTAGTTTGAAAAGAACATTAATTAAGATAATTTTGATTTATAAATTATAAAAAAAATTGATATTTTTTTAATGAATATTTACTAAAATGTCAAATTTATTTATTTATATTGTAAATATAATATTCAAATCTTAATTTTAATCATTTATCTGATTTTAAATAAATTTGTATTTATTTTTTATTTATTTTAAAAAAAGATTCTACTTGCAACTACCAGCAACCGCAAACATTGCTGAAAATGAGCTTTATATTTTAGGATTTGGAGCGGTTTTGAACGTCTTAAAGCGGCATAAAGTGTTTATGGTGATTGTTGTCAAACGCCAACAACCGCTACCTTCCGCAAAAGCTACGTTTGCGGATAGCAGAGAACCAATCAACCTCTTACTTAAACATATCAAAGAGAAGATAACCTATTATTTTATGGAATCTTTTTTTTTTTTTATTAATTTATAACTTATTTTTTGTAACTATTAAAAATTTTACTCTAGATAATATATCTTCATTTTTTTTCTTCGGCCTTACCATATTTGGAATTTTTCAAATGTCGTCATCATTTAATCCCCAACCTATACATCCGAACATTAATAACATTATTTTTCAAATGTCAGGGTGCTGTTTCATTCTCCCAACTGCTATGTCAGAGGAAATGCGACTCTTATCGATCAAGAAAAATTCAAAGTAACATTATTTTATTTAGATTTTAGAGGAAAAAAAAATGGTTTGTAAGACCGATATTGAGATTAGGGCTTCCATATTCTCTCGGACCAAGTTTTAGATTAATCTCCAAGCTTTTGGTTTATCTTTTCGCATTATATATATAATTATAAACAGAAGGTAATGTTCGTATGTCGTCCAACAAAAACTATTCAGATAAATAGCGTAAGAGTTGAGGCGCAACTAATTATTAGCTGCATCTCCTCTCGAAAGGTTAACTAATGATGACTCTCTCCACGTCTAGAGTCCTCTTCTTCATTTGGCCATCCACTATCATGCACACACACGTATAAAAATACGAATATTTTCATCACAAAACAACCCTAACACATTGCGTTGTGGACTTAGTCTCTCATCTTCGCCGGGAGAGACAAAGGGAGAGAGATCAACAAATTTCCGACTCTTCTTGGCCTATTTGAATACGGCTACACGTTTTGGCGTCCTTGGTTGTGAATCACCGACATATCTTTATTATTCGGACAAGCAATATGGGATCAATGGATGCAAAATGGGAAACCATAGTTCCATTTATAGCTATGGCGTTGATGGAGGCATGTACTATTGCACTCACCATCTTGGCTAAGACCGCATTGACCGGTGGCATGAGCCCTTTCGTGTTCATCGTCTACACTAATGCTCTTGGCTCTCTCCTTCTCCTCCCTTACTCTTTCTTCTTCCATAGAGGTGAAAGGTATTTAAAGTGCATGATCTATATATGTGTTTATATCTTTATCAATTTTGAGCTGTTGTTGTAAATGATCATATGATGACATGTTTTAGTTCCTTTGCAGGGACGATGAACCGTTCCTCACGAAGCCTTCCCTTGTTCGTATCTTCCTTCTCGGTTTCACAGGGTTAGTTTAAATCTCTATTTATATATTTCTGAATATAAGTGGTAGTTTTAGCTATGAAATAATTAAATTAAAATTCAGTCTTTGATTAATTATTTTCTTGGACAGAGTATTTTTGTTTCAAAACATGGCATTTTTGGGGCTAAGTTATAGCTCTCCAATTGTGGTATGTGCCATGGGCTTGCAGTCACCTGCTTTTTCCTTCTTGATCTCTCTTGCTCGTGGGTAAATTTATTACTTCTCTTGAATTTCAACTTTTTATTATTTGCTTTACCATTCAATTCCTAAATAACATTTTTTTCCTTTCATTTTGACATATTGGGATACAAAATGAATAGGGAAGGAAAATTAGAATGGGAAAGCATGAGAACAAAAGGAAGAGTGGTAGGCACGTTGATATGCTTCACAGGAGCCTTTGTGGAAATTATTTACTTGGGCCCTTTTATTAGACCATCTCCTTCTTCATCTCCAAACTCCAATTTCCTCACAACAATCTCACACTACTTGACTTTCTTCAAGAATTCTGAGAATTGGGCTCTCGGCTCTCTCCTTCTCGCATGTGCCACGCTCTCTATCTCCATCTGGAATATCATACAGGTAATTCAATATACGTTTCCATTTCGTAAAGAAAAAAACTTTTTAATCGTAGATAAATCAATCCATGTGTGTTTTACTTTTAAACGATCAATTCCTATATGATGCGTACAAGTTTTGATTTTTTTTTTTTGGGTCAATCAGTTGGATACAGTCCAGAAATATCCTCAAGTGATGAAAGTAGTGTCTGCCTATAGCTTAGCTGGGACACTCCAATGTGCAATCTTCTCAGCGTTCATGGAGCCGGACATAGATGCATGGAAACTAGAGCTTAACATGGATTTATATCTTATTATCGCCACGGTATGTATATACAGTATGATCATATGATATAAATACTAATGTTATATATGTATTCCATCACTTACGATATTAACCATATTGTTAATTTATATATAGGGAATATTTGGGAGCATAATAAGAACAAGTGTTCAAGTGAAGTGTTCAAAAATGAAGGGGCCTTATTATGTGCCATTATTTAAGCCCTTTGGGATCCTTTGGGCTTCTATTTTTGGCACAAGCTTCTTTGTGAATAGTCTTCACTATGGAAGGTAAAAAGAATTTACAAAACTTATACTCTCTCCGTTTCAAATTAGTTGTCGTTTTGACAAAATGTATCTGTAAATATTTGGACGTATCTGGACGTGTTTTACATTGCAGATACGTCCAAATATTTGTAGATACATTTTGCCAAAACGACAACTAATTTGAAACGGATGGAGTATAAACTGTAAAGAAAGTCACCATTCTAATATGACTATAGATAACCTTCATTTCATCTTTATTTAGTTTAGACCCTTGTTAATAGGATTCAATTTTTTTTTCTTCAAGCAGAATAAAGAAGTGCATAAATATCAAATATGAATTGTTCGATAATTCAATTATTATTTTTTGTTATAGAAATATAATATTTGAATTTGAAATAAGTAAAGAAGTTGTATTTGGTTTGGTCTGATTCTGATAGGTTTGGTTTATTACGTTGAACTTCTTGTGAACAGTGTGTTAGGAGCAGCCATAGCAGGAACCGGATATCTATTGATAATGTGGAGTCAAGCTCCAAAAGACGATCAGAAAGGAACTGTGGAGGAAAACGATAATTATCGGTTGGATTCAGATGATCAAACAACTCCACTTTTGCTCGGAAATGGTGATGTTGATCAAGTTTAGTCCCAAAGGACTAAAGGAGTGTTAAGTGTTTGCAAATTAGTTTAGTCGTGTGCTATAAACCCATGAAGGGTAAGTAAATGGAAGGAATTAAAAGAAGAGTGTGAAAGAAAACATATACTATATCAAAGTCTTGACTTTGTTTTTGAATGCGAGGAATGTATCAGTCTATAAAATTTGACAAGGTATGATGAGTTGCACCTTTTTTCTTTGCAATCTTATGCAACCTCGAAGGTACTGATTGATCCCAGCCAAAACTCAATACAAAAGCAAATTATAATATAAAACAAACAAAAAATCTCAAATGAAAAGAATGTTAAAATTTTCACTTTTGTAGGCTAATCTGTGTCTTATAAAGTTCAATATTCAAAAAAAAAAAATTGTCACATTCAACATTAACATTAAGACATAACAATAAGCGTGAAATGATCTAAACCACTTCATGGCCAGTCGAAATGGTAAAAAATTGTATGTCGTGGGTTCGTATCGTTTCAAGAAAATATTGAATTGTTGAAAAACTGAGCTTAGAAGTGAGTCAAAGCTACACTATAATTTGAAAATTGTTGAAGGTCATTCACAATTAGGAGGACGAACGCAAAAGCAAAATATGATTTGACAAAGAATGGACAGAATTGCTGGAATATGATTATTTTTAACATTGTTAATTGTAAAAGTTATAATATAAAAGTGGTGCTGGCCTGGTGGGTGTATGTAAAACGCTGAGCTATGGTAGCATTTTACGCTTTATAATCCCATCCCAAAAACGATAGTCCCATACTCCCATTAATATGGTTCCAGTATAGTAGTAGTATTAATTATTTAATTATAATAGCAAGAGAGTAAAGAAGAAAAGCTTAAAGAAGTAATTAAAAGTCGAAGTGGGAAGATGCGTCTAGGGATTGCTTCGATTTTACGTAATGCTACAAAATGTAAAGGTAAAGGTGTGAGAAACGATAGTTTTTGTTTTTTGTTTTTGTTTTTTCTCTCTCTTTATTACATTAACATTATATCATATGATAAACTGTTTCCAAATATTAGTAAGGAATGAAAAAGAAATAGTATGTATTTTCAAAATAGTGTGTCGGTTGGGCTAGGTAATTTAGACCTAACCATTTTAGTGTACCATGCACACTATTCTCACTCAAACTCTATATTACAGGTTTTTTTACGTCAGTTTTTAATTTTTTTTTACCCAACAGGTTTTTTGTCTATTTTACAATATTTGGTTTTGAATAACTATATCGGCTATTTTTTTAACATCTTGGCATCTTGCTATATTGATTTAAGAAATTGATACATTTAAATAGCTCTTCACATTCAATCTTTTGGGTCTTTTAAAGGTTCCGTGTTCTCCAAGTGGTTTCTCCTTTCTTCTCAAAGGCCTCAACGAAAACGCGCAAAAAAATCCACTTTTGACGTTTCTTACTTATATTGACGGTTTCTTACATATATTCCCCGACAAATGTCTTTCTCTTTTCTCACTTCATCTTCTTCTTCTTTCACCTTTTTCACTCTCCATATTTCCTAAACCCTTTTTCACTTTTCCAGCATTTCAACAACATTTCCGGCACTTTCGGCGTTTGGGTTTGCATTTTATCTTCGTAGTCTATACAAAAACCAGTTGTTTCTTGAAGATTCCAGCACAAAGCTTCAGCCTTTCAGTGTTTTGAGTTTCATCGTAAGAGAACGGAAATGGCCGGTGGTGGTGGAGGAGGAGGAGAGGCGGCGCCGCCAAAACAAGACGAGCTTCAGCCACATCCGGTGAAAGATCAACTACCTTCTGTCTCTTATTGCATCAGTAGTCCTCCTCCTTGGCGTAAACCCTCTTCTCTCCTAATCTTGTTTATCAATTTGTGCAATGTCCTCTGTAATCTATCAGCTAAAGATCACTTTTTTTTTCTTTGTTCCGATCAGCGGAAGCAATACTTTTAGGTTTTCAACATTACTTAGTGATGCTTGGAACAACGGTTCTCATCCCAACATCATTAGTTCCACAGATGGGTGGAGGAAACGTAAGTCTTAAGTCTTCTTCTTTAGATAAATCAATTAAAAAAAAGCTCTGTTTTTGATAAAAAAAAAATAAATGTTTCTCTTTGGCTTTTGTATTCGTTTGTTTGTAGGAAGAGAAGGCAAAGATGATTCAAACATTGCTCTTTGTTTCTGGACTCAACACATTATTACAAAGCTTCTTTGGGACTCGTCTTCCTGCTGTCATTGGAGCCTCTTACTCTTACGTACCGGCCACGCTTTCAATCATCTTGGCTGGTCGGTACAACGACATTTTGGATCCTCAAGAGGTTAGTTTCTGAGAATCTCTCTGTTTATGTGTCAGATTTAGTGATTGATTTGAGTAAACAAAATTTCAGAAATTTAAGCGGATCATGAGAGGAATCCAAGGTGCTCTTATCGTTGCCTCTATTCTTCAGATTGTTGTTGGCTTCAGTGGCCTTTGGCGCAATGTAGTTAGGTAAGCTATAAGATGAGTCTTCAGAAAAAAACATATTCTCTTGTTTTGATACTTCTTGATGTTTCTTGTTTCTTTCTTTAGGCTCTTGAGTCCTCTCTCTGCTGTTCCTCTGGTAGCACTCGCCGGTTTTGGACTTTATGAGTTTGGTTTCCCTCTGGTGAGTTACTACTGGCTTTAACTGATCTCTCATAATGAATTCTAACATTTTGTTGAGTATTGAGTTTGTTCTTTAACTTGCAGCTAGCTAAATGCATTGAGATTGGATTGCCTGAGCTCATCCTCCTACTCATATTCTCACAGTACATTCCTCATCTCATGCGAGGAGAAAGACAAGTCTTCCATAGATTTGCTGTGATTTTCTCTGTTGTTATTGTCTGGATTTACGCGCACTTCCTCACCATTGGTGGCGCTTATAAGCACACAGGAATCAACACTCAGAACAGTTGTAGAACAGATCGTTCTGGCCTCATTGGCGGCGCTCCATGGTAATGGTTTTAATTAGCTCTTTGTCTTTGTGCATACTCTAGTGATATTAGACTACATTTTGTGTAAAATTGGACTTGTTCTTGATGTTTCCAGGATAAGAGTGCCTTACCCTTTTCAATGGGGAGCTCCAACATTTCATGCTGGTGAAGCTTTTGCTATGATGGCTGTTTCATTTGTTTCCCTTGTTGAGGTTACAACTCATCTGAAAATATTTCCTTTTTTGCTAAAAAACAACACTAAACAATTGACATCAACATATCATACTTTTCATGTTCTTTACTCTTGTGATTCATGGAAACAGTCCACAGGGACTTACATTGCTGTATCAAGGTTTGCGAGCGCAACTCCTCCTCCAGCTTCTGTGCTCAGCCGTGGAATTGGCTGGCAGGTAACATAGTGAAAATGACTTCACAAGATTTTATATTTTGACATTACACACATACATTTGTGTTCTTTAGGGTGTTGGAGTTCTTCTTTGTGGATTATTCGGAGCAGGAAATGGAGCTTCTGTATCAGTGTAAGACCGGTTTCTTAACGTATTTGACCTGGAAAAAACTGTCTTTATTACAAAATCCAATCGTTACATTGATGTTCTTGCAGAGAAAATGCTGGTTTGTTGGCAGTAACACGCGTTGGTAGTAGAAGAGTAGTCCAAATATCAGCCGCTTTCATGATCTTCTTCTCAATTCTTGGTAAATTTGGAGCCGTATTTGCTTCAATTCCAGCTCCTATCGTCGCAGCATTACATTGCCTTTTCTTTGCATACGTTGGTACGTTTCTTGAAAACGTCTTTCTGGCTATGTTTTTGAAACCACAAATTTTTCAAACCAATAATCTTGCAGGTGCTGGTGGTTTAAGCTTACTTCAGTTCTGCAATCTAAACAGTTTCAGAACAAAATTCATACTCGGATTCTCTGTCTTCATGGGCTTATCGATACCACAGTACTTCAATGAGTATACAGCTATTAACAAATATGGACCTGTTCACACAAGAGCAAGATGGGTAAAAAGAAACAAACATAATCTGTTTTTTTGTCTCGATATCTTCTTGCTTACGGTAATGCTGATTTTGTGTTCTTTGCAGTTCAATGATATGATCAATGTTCCGTTCTCTTCTGAAGCCTTTGTGGCTGGGATTTTAGCATTCTTCCTTGATTTAACATTGTCATCTAAAGACAGTGAGACGAGGAAAGACAGAGGGATGTTTTGGTGGGATCGTTTCAGGTCGTTTAAATCGGATACTAGAAGTGAAGAGTTTTACTCTTTGCCTTTCAATCTCAACAAGTATTTTCCTTCTGTGTGATATTGAAAATGATGCTTAAAGAGTATATTGGGTTGACCTTTCAGGCTTTAACTCTGCTCTGCTGTAACCTATTAACATTTTGTATGTATCAATTCTGTATTCTTAAACTGCGTCCCGTTTATTTATCTTGAAAATGTACTTCTCTGTGGTGTTTACATGTTATTGGCTTAACACATGCACAGCTTTCCGTTTCAGATGGATTTGTATGTTGAAGGCCTAATTGGTGGTGCTTGGGCTTTAGTAGCTTGCATTGCATGTCTTGAAATCTTGGACTGGTTATATTGGTGTGCGTCCAAATTTCAATTCACAGGCCATGCAAAAATTTGGTCCGTATGTGGAAAACTAGAAATGGTTTATCATTCTTGATTAGGGTGGTATATTTTCCAACGATGATCATGTAAGTTTGCACCATAAGATCTTTACAAACAACAAAAACAACATTTATTCAATGTTTTTGTCAAGATTTGTCAACCTTTTATGGTTATCATAAATATAAAAATAAACCTTCAACCCTATTGATTCAGTTTTTTAACCATGTAGATTAATTATGTTTTGTATTAATAAAGTTTAAGAGGTTTTTCTAATATGTATGAAAACATTCTAAAATAATTGTACCACTTGGCACTTGCAATCAAACGGATGAAATAGCAAAGACTATTTAAGTATTTCTTGTCAATCACGTGATTAAGATGATTAATGTTGCCTAAAGAGTTTACCGGTTAAGGTGATTATGATGTTACAGTGTTA